TGTGTGATTTGGTCATCGGCCATGAATTACATTAATTTACAATAAAAAATATATTCGCATTCATAATACAACAATTTGATTGTAATTATATCGTTATTAAAATAGTGGTGTTGCATTATCCGATAACGAAGACGGATCGTGAGGGGTGGTGACTTCATGGGAGGGGGGAGGGCCTTCATCCCACAGTGGGTAGATCAAGAATGATAACAGAAAGGAATAAGTACAAGTGCAATTTTAGCATACATAGTTTTGTTTTCACGGAAATCTGGTTCTCTGAAATGGGTGAAAGTTAAGACTGTACAGCACGGGACTCGGTTGCCTTGTGTGGCGGGCACTTTGGTCCCGCAGCTTGTGCTGGCAGTGGAATGTTTTTGAGATTTATTTTTCTCCGCATTCGCTCTGGAAATTCTGTGCTGCAGAAACAGCAATGACACCATTTTCCAAAGAGGCTTACCCGTAAAGCTGTTTCCTTGCTTCGCTGCAGACGGTGGTCGAGGTGGAGGAATTGGTACACGTTGCTTCGTCATACTTTTCCACTCCGTTTAGAAGTGACATATTATTCTTATTCGAGTCGTAGCTAATACAGTTGCTGGAGCTTATCTTTTTATGCAGTTTGTACTTATGGGGTTATTTTATTTCCTACACTGAAATGGTGCAGTTGCTCCGTAATAGGTCATTTCAGAATAGATGGAGTTAGATTGGCGATTAGTTATGCTCAAAGAGAGCTATGCAAACTTAGACTTGAATGCACATTTAGGTTGTCCAAAAACATGAGAGTGTGAGTTATGTTTCAGAGTCTCTCTGAGCGTGCTGTAATGAAAGGAATGTAGGAATGTTCATCGTTATTTGTGTTCTTTCTTCCTTGAAAAAGAGACTGCAATTTCAGTGGTCTCTTTACCGTTTCTAATTAAATGTTTAGAAATCAAGGAATCCTCCGTGCGAGTGAAAGAAAAAGCTCCCCCCCCCCACATTGAGATTGGGAGGTAGGAGCAGAAGCGGACCTCGCTTGACGTGCAGTTTATTTGCAGGACTGCGTGGAAACAATACTTTGCTTATGGATAATGAATTAATGGGAAGGAATTGGAACATTTGCACAGCGGTTTCATTACACGAGAAATACCACAAGCTGGGCATATTAATGAGTGGGCGCTCACACTACTGCATAACTGTACATTGGGCACTGGACTGGCATGAAGAGGGAGCAGGCACCGAGGTTCAATTAACCCACCCGACAGCGCAAAAAAAAATCCCATAATGAGAATTGAAAACTTGGCTGAAATGTAGCGCACCCCATCGTGATTCGTGTTTCACGAGAGCATTTGATGCTCATTTCTCAGAAATTCAAGCAGCCGAGCCAACAATGGATAGAATATTCATCGGCGTTGATAATCGGACCAAATGGCACCGAATCAGTCGAATGTAAATGTTTGCCTTGCTGCTTACTAAGCACAAGTGTTCTCTTTATGATTGCTGTTCATAATTAGATGAGCGTGTTGCCTGTGTTAATTGAATATTTTGTGCGTCCAGTTTATATCCATATTTTAACAAAGTTTGCGGACCTCGGTGTCCTATTTATAGTTCAACGAATGCGTCGCTTACCGTTAGATAAGCCTTGCCTCTTCATTCCGACATTGCTCATTGGTTTTATTATACTTTAACAGACGATGTACAGTGAGGGGAAAAAAAGTATTTGATCCCCCTGCTGATTTTGTACGTTTGCCCACTGACAAAGAAATGATCAGTCTGTAATTTTAATGGTAGGTTTATTTGAAAAGTGAGAGACAGAATAACAACAACAAAATCCAGAAAAACGCATGTCAAAAATGTTATAAATTGATTTGCATTTTAATGAGGAAAATAAGTATTTGACCCCCCTCTCAATCAGAGATTTCTGGCTCCCAGGTGTCTTTTATACAGGTAACGAGCTGAGATTAGGAGCACACTCTTAAAGGGAGTGCTCCTAATATCAGCTTGTTACTTGTATAAAAGGCACCTGTCCACAGAATCAATCAATCAGATTCCAAACTTTCCACCATGGCCAAGACCAATGAGCTCTCCAAGAATGTCAGGGACAAGATTGTAGACCTACACAAGGCTGGAATGGGCTACAAGACCATTGCCAAGCAGCTTGGTGAGAAGATGACAACAGTTGGTGCGATTATTCGAAGAAACACAAAAGAACTGTCAATCTCCCTCGGCCTGGGGCTCCATGCAACATCTCACCTCGTGGAGTTGCAATGATCATGAGAACAGTGAGGAATCAGCCCAGAACTACATGGGAGGATCTTGTTAATCATCTCAAGTCAGCTGGGACCATAGTCACCAAGAAAACAATTGGTAACACACTACGCCGTGAAGGACTGAAATCCTGCAGCGCCCGCAAGGTCCTCCTGCTCAAGAAAGCACATATACATGCCCGTCTGAAGTTTGCCAATGAACGTCTGAATGATTCAGAGGACAACTGGGTGAAAGTGTTGTGGTCAGATGAGACCAAAATGGAGCTCTTTGGCATCAACTCAACTCGCCGTGTTTGGAGGAGGAGGAATGCTGCCTATGACCCCAAGAACACCATCCCCACCATCAAACATGGAGGTGGAAACATTATGCTTTGGGGGTGTTTTTCTGTTAAGGGGACAGGACAACTTCACCGCATCAAAGGGACGATGGACGGGGCCATGTACCGTCAAATCTTGGGTGAGAACCTCCTTCCCTCAGCCAGGGCATTGAAAATGTGTCGTGGATGGGTATTCCAGCATGACAACAACCCAAAACACACGGCCAAGGCAACAAAGGAGTGGCTCAAGAAGATGCACATTAAGATCCTGGAGTGGCCTAGCCAGTCTCCAGACCTTAATCCCATAGAAAATCTGTGGAGGGAGCTGAAGGTTCGAGTTGCCAAACGTCAGCCTCGAAACCTTAATGACTTGGAGAAGATCTGCAAAGAGGAGTGGGACAAAATCCCTCCTGAGATGTGTGCAAACCTGGTGGCCAACTACAAGAAACGTCTGACCTCTGTGATTGCCATCAAGGGTTTTGCCACCAAGTACTAAGTCACGTTTTGCAGAGGGGTCAAATACTTATTTCCCTCATTAAAATGCAAATCATTTTATAACATTTCTGACATGCGTTTTTCTGGATTTTTTTGTTATTCTGTCTCTCACTGGTCAAATAAACCTACCATTAAAATTATAGACCGATCATTTCTTTGTCAGTGTGCGAACGTACAAAATCAGCAGGGGATCAAATACTTTTTTCCCTCGCTGTAAGTGGCGGGGAAGGGAGGAGGGAATCTTTGCGCCTGTAATTTTGTTACGTCGACAGTGTCACATTTAAGGACAAAGGCCGTCACAGCCTGCGCTATAAAAAGCAATAATTGACAATGAGTTATGCCGCAATACATTGTGTTACTCATACACTCGTTATGCGCGTGCCATGTGACATTTACTTAATCCGATCTGTTTTTTTTTTTAAATATTTGGTCGAACAGGTGTGAGAATATGTACGTATGTGTGTGAATGGGGTTGCAGCAGTGGGAAGCGGAAGTGTAGCATTTAGCGTGCTGTGCCACGAACCTGGCGACCCAAGTTCAATTCCCACTCACGGTCAACACTAGTGACGATTATTTGAATCGGTCGTAAGCCTTCCCATGGTCAACTCAACCTCAAATGAGTACCTTGTGTATGTGTAAACATCGCCACTGGGGAGACAAAATTGGCCAGGCGTGGTGCTGGCCACCCGCCCCATCGTGTGCTGTGCCGGCCTTCATAGGTGTTCACTAACAGCACTTTCCCCAACAGTTTGTTAAGGCTAGAGGGGAGATCTTTGTCTTTATATTTTGGGGCAGCAGTGGTGTAGTGGTTAGCACACTATATTACAATTCCAGAATCATTGCTTTTATTCCTGGCCACCTATAGCTATTGGAATATAAATTTGGCCTGTCCCTCAACCAAGTCAATTCAGCCTAAAATGTGTACTTAGTGCCATGTATCAACATCAGCACTGGGAAGACAAGCACCAAAGGTGGTGTTTGTTGGCTCTACCACTCAACCCACTCCATTGTATGTAATGCTGTTTCTGATAGGTGCTCGCTGACAGGAGTGGTGCTGAAGTAAAGTCACCAATGCACTTAATAATGCATATTTAAGAAGTTTTTTTTTACGTCAACAATATCTATTGGGTAATTGTGCCATGGTCCCAATGCTGCTTGTTTTGGTTGATTGTCAGCTGAATTCGTGTGTGTGTGTGCAATCGACAACACATTGTCACAATTCAAATCATGGTCCAGTTGAAGTATTGATTCTTCTTTGTCTTGTTTTGCCATCTTGTTGTATTGTTTCAGAATGTTTCTGTATTCATAGATTTTTTGTGTGCCATTACTGAACATAATATGCATATAATTTGTATATCATTACAATATATCCGGAACAAGTGGTACACACATACATTTATTGCCATCACAATCGATCCTAATGGATGCATTTTTACTAGAAATGTCATAATCCACCTTTCTCGTGATTAAGTGAATGAACATTAGTTTTTATTGTGTGTCTATAGCAGTCACATTTACATGCAATATTAATCTAGTTAAGAAATGAATCAAGGCATCATTACAAACGTATTGAACATACGCGCATGTTTGTGTTGTTTTGGATTTTTGTGCATGCACCCATACAGCAACAAATCCCCTGACCCGAGTTCCATTCCCAGCCACGGCCAACATTAGTGGACAATGTTTGAACTGTTTTTTTGTTAAGTGGGGGCTCCCTATGTCCACTCATCCTTACATGAGTACCTGCTGCTGTTTGTAAACATCAGCGCTGGGAAGACAAAGACAACTGGGCGGATGCTGGCCACACCGTGCCCTCATTCGCCATGCAAGCCTTTCGCCGGGGCTTGCTGTGACAGCACATGCCACAACAGTCCGTAAAAAAAAAAAAGGCAATACGGGGGAATCGTGATCTCTGTTTTTGTTTTTTTGTGCATTCACCCGTGCCTTCAAGGTGGTACAAGTTGGAGTCGAAGCCCGGCAAGAAGGAGAAGGAGCGCGGCGAGCTCGAGGTCAACATCCAGTACATGCGCAACAACTTGACGGCCAGCATGTTCGACCTGTCGCTCAAGGACAAGAAGCGCACGCCGTTCGGCAAGCTGCGTGACAAGGTGTCCGGCAAGAAGAAGGAAGGCTCCAAGGGCGGCTACGAGTCCTCCTCGGCGGTCGTGTCGTCTTCGGCCGCGATGGACAGCGACGAGGAGGGGCATGCACCTGACGTTGAGCAGAAGAAGAAGAAGACCAAAACCCTGACCCTGTTTTCCAAGTGGGTCCTCATGCCTCCTCCGTCTATGTTTTTCAGGAGGCACTTGCCTTGTAAATGGGAACATCTTAATGATTTACGGCAAATAATTAATCCTCTACTAGTTGAAAGCCTCCTCACTCCCTATTTATGGGTCGTGAGGGTTTGTTTGCGCATACTTGTTTCGTGCGCGTTGAAGAAGGGGTCACTCTTGACTGGTTCCGATATCAGTCAATCGCCACTGATTTTAGCTTTCACTGAGAGTTGAACTCCGGTTATCGGATTCATAGCACGTTGCGAGAACCATTCTACCCTCGCTCCACCCTTAGCACACCCTGCTGCTGTTGGTTTGCTAATATGTTTGTGTTTGTCATTCCACTTGTATCTCAAATTTAAATAAGTATGGCCAGTGCAACGAAAACAAGAAAAAATCCTCTTTCTCGATGCAAGGATTTGACCTGACCTCGAGATTGTGCAAAAACTTGCACCTCTTGACGTGTGGCCAAATTTCAATTAATAAAAAAATCATCCTACTTCTATTAATTTAATAAAAGATCATTGTATTCTTTATCATCATCATCTTACGACTATTGCTGTACTTGAACAATGTTAGTCCATCATTCCACTTTTAACCAGAAAATTGAAAATAGTAAAAGGATGAATTGCCATGTACACCTGACTGCACTAAAGGTGCCGTTGAAGCTCGTGATTTTATTATGCCGAGTTGAGGTAGTCTTGTACTGTTGCTTCATCCTTCATTTCCGTTACTTCATCATGTACCTCTTCTCAAATCCTGTGGGGGGAAAAGTTACATAGGGGTTGATTGCCATTATTTTGATGGGAGAGTAGATTTTTGGTACCAATCTTGTCTTTACCTTGGAAATCATCATTGAGTCTTAAGACTAATTTTCATAAGTTTTCTGCATTGAGATGTTTTCCTGATACCCCTCTCGAGTATTCTTTGTGGTTAGAAAAGCATTAGTGCCTAGAGAATAACCCATGAATACAAGCAAAGAACACTCAAAGCCTGCGCAATACTGATCCTAAAAAAACACTTGATACAACCTAATTCCTACAGACACCTCACTGCCCTGCAGATGTGTGTTTCACGGACTTAATTGCTACGTTCTCATTAAGATTCACTATCCCTGTCACAGGCATTGATTCCAGCCACCACCCCCGCTTTTAAGTGGGACGAGTGGACGTGCAGGTTGTTAGTAATAGGAATGTGTTTGACGGCGCAGTGGTGTGGAACAGCACGAGTTGTGATGACCATTCCCCGGGTGCGCACTTGTGCACGCGCATTTGTGTGTACACGCACGACAGGTCAAGCATGCAGAAGGGCTCTGTGTCCCAGTCGATGCTTACTCTCCCCACGAGCAAGGGGCTCGGCAGCCTGGCCTCCCTCTCTCCGTTTCGCCACCACGGCCGTCGGGAGAGCAGTGGCACTGCCTCCGTCAACTCTGACTCAGATTCTGTCGGAGGCAGCAACCCTAATCTGGCCGACAGCCCCGGTAAGCACGGGTTTTTTGTTTAGTTTTCTTGCCACGTTTTAAGGAGTGGATGTTGCTATTTTCCTTCTGGATTGCCATGTGCAACAGCTGCATGTGTTTTATTTTACGAATGCATACCCCTGTTGTGATGTCGCAATAGATAGTGGGTAACATTCTGTCTCTAATACAGCTCCTTTTCAATCCACTGCTGGATGGAAGTGTCCCAGTGCCTGTTGTTAGGGTTATGTGTGACCATGCTTTTCCGCAATGGTCCGTGCTGATTGGTCAAGAGGAAGGTATACCCTGGACCAATTCAGGCATCGCGTGCACCACTGATGTTCGCTATGGTGTGGAATCGAACTCGGGTCACCGGGTTTTAGCCACAGTGGTCTAACCACTGCGCCTCTACCACTTTCCCACTGACTACGGTTTATTCTTTAAAAATAGTTCTAGTGTTGCTTTCAGAGCCTGCTTGAACTTCAGTTTTTGGGCTTTTTGGGTTATTTAAAGCCACCCCATTTTGCAAGCAGCTTACTTGATGATGAGAAAATAGGCGTGTTCACGAGATAACAACCCCCTTTGTGGAATTTTTTAACGTTCCAATTTTCTTTGGTGTTTAGAATAATTTATTAACTAAGCTCAATTATTAAACAAAGTTACTTTTTTATGCGGGTTTATGTGGAACTTGCTTATGGCTCTAAACTTTTTATTATGGGTCTCAAGTCAGTCCCAGCTTTACAAGAAATCTTGACCCCTTAATTCATTGTCTTATTTTGGTAGCATTAAGAAGAAACTCGTACATTGTGAACAATGAACAGCCTTGAAAATGTACCTGAAAGTTAGGCTTGTATGGCCTTCATATAGTTTTATAATTGTAACTTTTTGAACCTTACTCATAAGTTCAGCTGAGGGTGATTTGTGCTCACTGCAACCCAAGTTGAGTGGCGATCCACTCGTTAAAAAAGTTTGTAAAAAATATAAAACAATTTCAGTTTAATTTGTGATGTGGTATCTGTTATCAAATTCTTTAAATTTTTAATTATTCTGATGAGAAAAATGATCACTTCATTTGCTTCTGTTTTACAGCATAGTTGCCAGATTAAACTTAAAATGGCTTCAAAATTAATCACTATATTTAGGTCATATTTTTCTAACATTGCCCACATTGGTAGAACATTATAAAATAATTTATTGTTCATACGAAATGACAAACGGAGCATTAACTGGCCTAGTTGATGTGTTTTACATTAATTGCTTAATTCATTACAGCCCACATCAAAACATCTACATTAAAAGAGAAATCCAATAACCTCCCTTGTAGCAGCGTGACAGTGTGTAATAGCGATAATTGATAACAAGGAAAATATTTTACTATTTCATAAATTGTGAGACTGAGAACAATCATGATTAAACCAGAATTAAATTACAAACTTTAATCTGAGTTTTTAATATATAATTATTACTATTAAAATATGCCGTGCGATAGATTAAGTTTCCCTTATTAAGAGTGTGGTCTGAATCATTATTGGTTCAACAGAGAGACTACAAAGGAGAGAAACACTGTTTGATGCATGCATTCACAGCTGAGAAAAATATACCCGTTAAAACTAATTTCAATAGCATTTTAAAAAAATATTCCCATTAAAAAGTTTTTTTAATTGTTGTTCTGAAGTACTCATTTGGATAAACGTTGCCTTATTGCAAGCTAATACTACACAGTGCCTGAGTATTTGTAATTTGTAAAACTTTAAATTTTGCTCAGTTAATGTGAAAATAAGATTATTACAATGTACTGCCTATGGAGCCCATAGGTTTCTGTATCCGCTCAACCCAAGCTTGATGTTCTTGATTAGGCCTTGTCGAGTGCTTCTATCCACTACAAACTACCATGGGCATTTTCAGGAATTGAACATACCCGTAATTAATTGTCTCATTTGTGTGGCATTAACAGATAACATTTTGAATAATTTACCTGAGCATTAATTTGGTGTGGGAGAACTGAAGATGCTCCTGGTAGTGCATGGCAAAGCGAGAGCAAAGAAATGCTTAACACATAAGATAACCCGGACGACCAGACTTGAATAAGTTCCGATGGCTTAGCATTATGAGTGCGTGCGTGTATCCGTGTGGCTCATTAGATGGGTCCCCAGGCCCTTCCAAGTCTAACACCGAACCGCACCCTTCGAACACTGCCGGGCTGAGCACTTCTCCCCTGGCCTCCGCCGAAGTGCAGTCCACTCACCGCCGGCACGTGTCGCTCACGGGCATCGAGGAGGAGGAGGGTAACCGAGAAGGCCTGCCGGGGAAAAGCAAGAAGAGCACCAGCAGCGGCGGCAGTAACCCGTTTGGGAGCGACGACCTGCGGGACGCGAACCCCTTCTCCGACAAGAAGGGGGCAGACGACCCGGAACACAAAAACCCCTTTCAGGAGAAGTCGCCCCCTTCAGGGTCTGTGTCTTCAGCCCCCGGTGATTGTTTAACTTTTTTTACTGTATGTGTGCATTGTATTACCTGTGAGCAAATCACCTGGAATGCACCCGAACTCGTGCTTGTCCATCCAAGCACAATCCCCAATGGGATGGGTGACCACGGTTGTCATAGGCTGGCAGGCTATATGATGGACATTAGAGGGCAGTAGAGCATAATCGGTTGTTGTGCTATACTTCTATGCTTCCGCATTTATGGAGCTCCCCTTCACCAACATGCACTGACCAGCGTGGTGAATTAATGGTCAAATAATTTCCATGACGCCCATGGCATGGGGAAGCCCTCATTTAGAAGTGGATTGACAAAGTGCTATACATGTACATATAATATAGGTGTACTCTAGATGGTAAATAATTTCATGGAGCTTAGAAGGAAGACATTTGTAAGCCGGCTAGTTAGTCTGAGAGAAAATATTTAAGCTGTTGCGATTTGATTAATTATCACAATACATAGCAACATTGATTCAAGTATTAAAAGAGTCAGTGTAGCACCTCCAGTGGTTGCAGGGGTCAAAAGCATTTTACGTGCAATGTCTACAAATCGAAAATCCATAATACAGGTTTTTAGGGTTAGATCGCATAAATATATAAATGTGTTGTTAAACCCGCCACCACTCGACACAGCCAATTAGTAAGGTTTGTCACGTAAACAGAACGTGCCAATTCGTTACTCGTACAGCACACCGGTGTGTTGGAGAGGCAAGCCACAACATTTACAATCTGAGTACGACGTTTCGCCAGTAATTACAACTAGCTTCATCAGGCGACAGCCAGATTTGTGGAGAAGTCCTCCTGTTTCGTTCCTTATATAGAGGGCTAGATGTGATGACAACACTTGTGCGCTCTTCTTGCGCGAAGTGGGGGCGGATTCATGAATCAACGTACATTATGCATGCACATTATACGAGCCCTTTGATCTTGTACTTCCTGTCCATTGTGTGTACTAAAATAGCCGTACCAACGGTAATCCCTATTGAAGTATCGTTGGCCTGTATAGGCATGCATTTAAACATTGTATTAATTGAACCTCCCGAATAAACGGAAGTCATAATCGTAGTTTATTTATTTTTGGCGACTCCGTCCCACCGCGCGCATAAACGCTGCGACTCGCTTGGCGCGGATCGTTCTGTTGTCATGTCGTCCAAGCGCAGCGAAGACGAATGCGCAGAAGAAACAAAACTTTGATTAGCGCATCGTGTAGAGCTCGTCGCGAGGAGGAGGTTGCCGTATCGTTTGCCTTCAACAGATATAATGACGTCGCAACGCAGTTTATACGAGAGCCAGGGCTTATGGGACCCTGGCATCCCGCCATAAGGTTAATTTGATGATTCGCTTCCAAGCCGCACTAAGTCTGTAGCTATCCGAACAGTTATAATAATATTTATATCTCTCAATTTCGATAGATTCTCTAATTAGTCTTGCCCAGTAGTAACTAGTTTTGCACAGAACTTCAACATTATAAAAATTATTTGAGTGTCCTTCTTGGCACATATGTTCTGCGACTGGGGGTATTTAATATTTCGTTGGGGTTCTTTGGTCTCGTGGTGATCATTGTTCCTGTTTGCCCAACATAGCATTTGCCACAAGTGCAATTAATCCGGTACACACCTTCTGTTGATAGCTTCGGTATTACATCTTTTGTACCAGATATTAATTAATGTATTTTATGTACCGTGCCAAATCTGACTCGGATGTTTTGTTTTTCTAAACATCTGGCTAGTTTATCAGTTACTCCCGCAATGTACGGTATTTTAATAGCTTTAATTACTTTGTCCGTTTCAACGCTCGTGTTACTTGATTTGGTTTTGACATTCAATGCCCTGTTGATTTATACATCATTGTAACCGTTCAATTGCAGGGCTTCTCTAACATGTTTAATTTCACTTCTCAGACTATCACCATCTGACACTTTCTTAGCTCAATGAATGAGCGTCTTGATGAGAGCGTATTTCTGGGTGGAGTCATGGTGTGACTTTGCATTCAGATAGGCGTTTAATTGCATGCCTATACAGGCCAACCATACTTCAATAGGGATTACCGTTGGTAAGGCTATTTTAGTAGGCACAATGGACAAAGAAGTACAAGATTAATGGACTCGCATAATGCGCATGCATAATGTACGTTGATTCAACCCCCCGACTTTACATACGAAGAGCGCACAAGTGTTGTCATCACATCTAGCCCTCTATTTAAGGAACGAAACAGGAGGACTTCTCCACAAATCTGGCTGTCGCCTGATGAAGCTAGTTGTAATTACTGACGGAACGTCGTCATCGGATTGTAAATGTTGTGGCTTGGCTCTCCAACACACCGGTGTGCTGTACGAGTAATTAATTGGCATGTTCTATTTACGTGACAGCTTACTTATTGGCTGTCGGGTGGTGGCGGGTTTAATGACACAACATTTATATATGTGCGATATAACCCAAAAAACCTTTATTGTGGATGATATTGGTCGTGAAAGCCTGCGTGTTAAATCGAAAATCTTTATCATTCTTACACTTCAGTGCATTTATTGTCAGCATAACAATAATTTGTAATTGATGCGTCATTTCTTGATTGCCAACTAATACACGCAAACTGACTTTCACTATCTCAGGTTTGTAATGGTATATCATGTCAAATTGTTCTTTTGAGAAAAGTTACGTGTATTTTTGCGACTAGATACATTGGCTAATTGATGTTATTATAACACAGGCCTACATTTCCGTACACATCAGTGTTCCGAACACTCATAAGTGGTTTGTTCTTGTTGACCGCAATTCAAACAAAGAACAGGAGGGAGAATGAGAAAAAAAAAACCCTTTGGGGCATCTGTTTCTCCCGCAGCAAAAAAATCGGAGGAAAAGAAAAGTCACTCTTCAGGGTTCTCCCTGTCGAGCCTCACCAAGTCGTCCAGCAAACCGTCCAAGGTTCCCGAGCAGCCCAAGCACGCGGATGCGGAACAGCCCAAGAAAGAGTCGGGCAAGAAGCTCAAGCTGCCTTTCTTCTCGACACCCGACAGCAAGGCAGAGTCTGCCGCCGAGAGCTCGCCGGCCGCCACAAAGCACCCGGCAGAGGAGGTGGCGACGCGGGAAAGCCCAAGGCCCAGCGTGGCGGTTAACCCATTCACCATGGAGGGCAATGACACGGAAACTGTGCCGAAGCCAGGGTGAGTGCCGTCCCTGCGCCGTTGAAAGCTGTCTGGGGGGGGCCCCACCACTACACCACCACCCGCGCCCCCCCCCCCCCCCCCAGTTCCTCCCCTCCCTCCCGAATTTTGTTGGTTTTACTGCTGCCATTTTTCAGGTCAACAACAAGCCGCTTTAAAATGAAGGATACGTTTTTCGGCGTGTTTTGATTTCGATGTAAAATGAGTTTATTCACACTCTGCGAAGTGTAAATTGGAATAAATCCTCCGTGCATGTCCTAAGGCGATTTTGCCATGTGTCGCTCGCCGTTTTGGGCAGTCTGTCATTTTGACTGCGGCGGCGTTTATAATTTAAAAGAATTACGAGCACCTTCGTGTAGCTCTGCATTTGATGAGGAATTGCTCTTGTTTTGTCATCCGTCTTGTGCAGCGTAACTTTTTCTCCCTCGGAAGCTTACGTCTTGAAGAAACAAGTTTTGCTTTCCCAGAAGTCTGCCATTTGGACTTGAGTACAATATAATACACTTTAAGACAATTAGGAGATAACTTTTCCGATCATCTACACTGCATTTTACACAGCATGTAGAACACAAAATGCATTTCCATTCAATTTAATTGCTTTGCAGTTCTAATTCGTAACGTGTAAGTTCAAGCGTACATTGTAGGATTGTTGCGGCGCAATCCGGTTAGACTAAGGGAGCGTCTCGTTTGTTCTCCCTGCAGACGGAACATGTCTCCTAAGGCTGAAATCAACCCAGTTCCCTCCCTCAGTGCCTCCTTTCCTACTTTCAACTCCTCCTTATCATCTCCTCCTGCTGTCTTTGATAAGCTGCACCCTGCTCGCACCTCACAAGCATCCGACAAAGTAGGTCTAGATATGACGCCTGACAGGCAACATTCTCCTGGCAGTCTTGAACGTTCGGGGGAAGGGGAAGAACCGACTTTCAAACGCATTGATAGGTCAGCTTCTTCTCAACTGGTAAAGGCCCTTATGGGTTCTCGACGCGGTCAAGCAGATCAGTCGCCGCCATCCACTATTGACGAAGAAGCTACTTCAATTCAAAACATTGAGGTTGCGAAAGTTGAAGAGAAACATGTGGGACGGAAAGATCCTCCAAGGGAGCCTTTTGTTGAGCCTGTGGCAGCTGAAGAGAAGTCTGGCAAGAGCACACGTGTCTTGAAGAAAACTCCTCTGGTGGACTTGGAAGCTGAACAAGATGTGGAACCACCAAAACCAGTAGCAAGGAAACCACGAGCACAGGAGCCGGAAAGCCACAGCACTCCGGACACAGCGGTTCCTCCTCCAGTTCCACCACGGAGGATCAAACCAGAGGACAAAACGGAAGTGATTCTGCCCCAGACATTCGAGGTGGTCACTCCAGCAGAAGCTGATCTTGGGCCACTTGTTAAACCTCCCTCTGATCGTGTGTTGAGAGGTGTTTTGCCTCTGTCAGAGAAGAATGCATTTGACGTTGAGCCCAAGAAGAGTGTAGACCAAAATGCAGATGCAGAATTTAAAACATTCAGCGAAAATATTGATGATGATTTTAAAATACCTTCTGTTCCAGTTGAATCACCCTTCCATATAGGAAAGAGCAGTGTTGCGTTCCCAGCTGTAGATGATCCCAGTGGTTTTGTAGACGAAGAAAATGAATATGTAAAAACTAGTCCTGTGGAATTATTTTCGAAGAAGTCACCTCCTAGCAGTAATGCCAGCCCAACTCCTGCCAAAACAGCAGAGCCTTTTTCTTTCGAAAGCATATCTACATCAGTGAAGTCTACAGGGCATATGTTTGTAGCAGATGATGATGATGACGATAATGATGTAAAAACTATTCCTGTGGAGTTATTTTCAAAGTCATCACCTCCTAGCAGTAATACCAGCCCAACTCCTACAAAGACAGAAGAGCATTTTTCTTTGGGAAGCATATCTGCATCAATAAAGTCTGCAGACCACATGTCTTTAACCAAAACCTTAGGCTTTGGTGATCTTCTCCAGGAGTCAGAAAGTCGATATGTAAAGGAACTGAGCGATGATGATGATGAAAAAAATTGTGGTGACATTAAGATGCTAGAGCCTCAAGAAGAAACTGTAACTTTAAGCATAGAATCAATTTCACGTATTGAGGATGTATCTTCTCAGCCTAATTTTGATCGAGAGAGAAATAATCTGTTGGTGGAGCCCACCAAAACCATGAGTCAGGACCAAAGTGAACCTGTAAAATATGCAATTGAGACATTCGATTCAAAAGTGAAAACACCTGGACACTTGGAGAAAAGTGAAAAATCTCCCGTTAACAAGGTGGAAGATGAGTCCAGTAACTTGAGTGAAGGCTTTCAGCTGGAAAGTGTGAAGGATCACCAACCCATTATTGAACAAAGTGTCACAAATGTGCCAGATATCGCACAAAAGTCCTCTTCCACATCTGTGAAGCCTTTAGTCAAAGATAGTCAAATATTGGGTTTAAAAGAAACCAGCAACATAGCCAATTGGCAGACTGAACCTACAACAGATTCAATTGAACTGTCTAGTCATAAAGAAGAAATGCCAAAACCTTTGGCACAGAGTAAGACATCTGCAGCTAAGATGGTGCTTCGATTGAAATCAGAGGAGTTTGACGATTTAAAAGAAGGTCTAGATCCTTGGAGTGCTGAGCCAAGTCCACCATTCAGTGAGAAGAGCTTTACCAAAACACTGCCATCATACTCTGTTGAAGTGATGTCATCTGTTCAGTCTTCTACAAAAAATCGCCCAAAAGAAGACCCTACGCTTTCTCCTTTTGAAAGACCTGAAGATGATGTACAGCAGAAGAAGGCTTCCACTAAATCCCACCGTGAAGAAGCTGAACCCAAGCCTAAGACCCTCCGCAATGTTGTTGAGGAAAGTAGTAAACCCTCTGTGGCATCACGGCCTCCCATCACTGAGGACAAGAGCCCAGCACAGTCACTGCCTACGCAGAAGGTAGAGGCCCTTGTCTGGAGCCCCACTCCCGAAGGAGGTAAAACAAAAGGCTTTCCACAGGCATCAGCCCGTGTGCCGCTGACGGATTCCAAACCCACCCAGCCACTAGTTGCCTCTTGCCCTCCAGTACCAAAGCAGAGCCCCGCAGACACTGAAGCCAACACCAAGAAAACGCTAAAGGTTCTGGTTCTTGACGAAGACGACATGGACGACGTGATTACAGCAACCTTTGGGGAAAAAACGGAGCCGGCTCCATCGCCTGCTGGCATTTTTTCTGCAAAGGATAATCTGTGGGGCGGCACCAAAGACCAATTCGGCACAAGCAACAAATTTCCTCCAGCAGCCTCCAGCTCACCTTTGTCCAATACTGCCGCTTGCTTTAATGTCTCAACCTCCGAGTCCTCGGCTGACATTTTTCCTGCTTTGGACCACAAGTCTGCTCCTAAATCTGGTGCTGCTCCTGTAGCTTCTGAACCCCACTGTGAGTCCGAGGGTGAGGCCCAAGCAGCCAGCGTAGCACGAGTACACCTGGCAGACATCAACAGTCGGAACAGGTGAGACATATGGGTCTCCTAGGGACAAATCAGGTCATGTTACTAACAAGCAGGGCTTGGGTGCGCCTCTAAGCTGCTTGCTTTGCACATCAGTGCTTCTGTGGTCATTGTATTTGTGAGCCCTTGGGGCTCAAGGCATTAATCAAGCATTTAATCAGCCAACTGCCGTCGGTGTCGGCCGTCTATATGTAAATATAATTCAGAAAAAGTTGACAAAACAAGAGCATGTTTACCAAACTCGTACGGGGCACTCTGTCATTTTATGCACTCGGGAGTGCCAAAATTATAATTATCATAACACTTAACCAGGTTACGTGGATTAATAACATTTTTAGGCAACAAGGCATTGTGCACCAGGTGGCAGATGCTGTATTAGTACACAATGACGTGCCGCATCAAAGGGCAATTGGAAACGGCACGTGGCAAACTCATGTAAACTCACCCGGCAATCTACCTGCCCTCGGGTGCAATACGGGGACAGCCCTTTCAGAAAATAGGTAAAGCAGTAATTGAAGAAGCCAGTCGAACACTGTTCGGCTATTACCAAACTCAAGTCCCCTTGTGTCTCCAATCCACATGGCACGTGGCAGTGAATGGAGGGGGACTTATTGTCTGTGGAATTGCAAATGACGAGCTCCCGGGTGTGGTGGGCAGGCACGTGCTCGCCCTGTTTTGACACTTTTGGTGTTTTACAATAGCCGCAGCTGATAGGGAGGGGGGGGGGAGGCTTTTCGCTGGCCGGCTGTGGTGTGAAGTTGACACTGCACAAATCTCTGCATCGCTCCGCCTGTCATCGCCATCCTCCGCACACTCTTTCTCTCTGCTCCCTTGTTTTCATCTCTTGATTACTTCTTGGGTTTTACTAACATTTTTTCCCCCTGTCCAGAATTTTGCTGATGGTAGTTATTCGTTATTCCAACTGTTTTTCTTTACTTGTTTTGGGGGATTTTTTTGGGAAATCGAATATAAAAGTGATCTTGGAGTGATATCAATATTTTTTTATTCATGTAACGATTTTCTCCGTGCGATTCGATGAATTGTCACAATTCTTTTGTCGTTGTGATTACATTCAACTATCAGTTATTTGATTTATCTCTTATACATTATTATTTACACAGTTATATTTGCTCTTTTAGCCTCAAGGTAGCAATTGCATGCCATTAGCATGTAATCTGCCTGAATGATAACACATCGATTCTCATACACACGATTCGATGCATGTATTGTGATAATTTGCTCGGTGATTAATTGACGCATCATTACATGCCTGATCCTTTTTCGCTGGCTGCATTAAAACGTGATCGCTTTGATTGTGTGCCCTATGTTGTTTCTCTTTAACGTTTTGTTGATTTCACCCACCCTGCTGCAAAACCAGCACACCACACCCCATCAAGCCCATGCGAATCAGGGCAGTGGAACTGCCCTCCAACTCCAGCCCTGTTGCAGCCCCGAGGGAGCCAAGAAACCAAGGCAAGCGGCCGGCACCGGCGGTGCCCAGCGGCTTACTGATGAATGACAAGGTGAGTGGGGCCACGCACGGCGGTGGCATTCGGGCCGTAAACTCTGATGGGCAAGGGACCGTGTGTTCCAGGGGTAGGGTAACATACGGCAATAGGGCCTGCGACTTAATGGCTTTACGGCCCATGGTCTACCACATGGAAACGGTCCACAAACTATTTATCCAACCTGCAAACATTGTAGCCACACTAATTGAGCACAAGAGTGACTGAGGTCCGTGTTAATGTATGGCCCATCATAGGTTTTTGAAAGTCCTATTTGGCCTTCGGCAATGAAAAGGTTTTCTGCCTCTTAATGGACAGACTGGGCAGTGGCCCAACAAGGCAGTCCTGCGTATGGACTTAAATGCCCTGTGGCTGTAGGCTAGGAGTATCATGATTCACCACCACCCCCCTACTCCGAATGATTTTATGAATCATGATTCAGGGTCACAATCCCATGAATGGGTATAGAGGTCATGCAAACCCTGTATGTACAATGTGTACGAATCGTAAAACGTTGATTATTGTGCACACGATTCAATGGGTGTATCATGAGCTTAAGAATCTGTATTAATCGATTCGTAAATGGATGCATCGTTGTGTACATAGGCATGTTGAACTTCCTTCGCACCATACGTAGCTAACCGTGATAATCAGAGGTGCGGTAGGACAACAAACTAAACACAAAAAAACATTTCTAAAGAAACAATAAAATAATTAAAAATATATCTTTATTGTTTCCCTTCTACGTGACTTTACCGAAAGAACCAAGAATATGAATCCTTGCAGTCACGAAAGCTTTAAATCAAAATTTCTAATAGTTTTCAATCTATATTTAAAATTGCAGTCAATCTATTTCTCAACCCGTTGAGTGGCATTTGTATTTGTGCAGCTGGGTACTAATTGCAGAAATACAATTGCATTGACCGACAGGGAATGTCATCAATGTGGCATTTAATGGTTATTATTTGCAAATAAATTCCAACTGTGATAAAAATAAGCCCCACATTTTACTGAAGTGCATGATAAGTCTCAGTTTTTTTTTTTGTGTTGGCTATATTTACTTGCAAATGGTTTTTGTTCATATTATCCACAGTTGTGTTCGTTTAATAAGTCCCTTTGAAATTCGTTCTGTTTACACCTTTGCGTGCAGTGTGCAAAGTAGGGGGCCCGCATTGCAATTTACCAGGCAGAACAGTTGTGAGAAAATTGCAAAGTGAGCTCTCAGTAATAATTCAAGTTATAATTATAATGAGATGGTTCTTCTCTAGCTTTGCCTGCAGCTACTCTTTGGTGGCCAAATTGTAAAAAAAAAATATATCTCACATGAGTGCCAGGAACGAGATAAATTGGTCGAATCGTTCAGAGGCATTTAGGCACATGCAGTAGTAGGTGAGAAGAGACAAGAATACGTTTGGTGAGGGAGGCAAATGCCCCGTGGAATGTTCGTTTTAGTGAGACATGGCTGGATTTGCTGTCCATGGCCCGATAAGCTGACAGACTTTGAGCCAACTGTGATGAGTTGCAAGTCCAACGCTGCCGTAATAAAAGCATGGGATTTTGTTACAATTTAAACATAATGGTAAACTATGCTAAACCGTTAATATGAGCGTTTTTTAACCTCGGGCTGTCTTTTAGCACGAGCGTCACGTGGCTTAAAATATTTTTAAGTGGCAGCAAAAAGGCTGATATTTTTGGCTTTGACATTTGGAGCATTTAATTGCGTGTTTCAATGGCGATTCTTGTTGTGCGTTTGCTTTAAAGCTGACAATTTGTGCATCGTATCTAATAATAATAATAAAAAACACTTTTGAAGCATTTCATAAAACGGTGTTTACGCAGACTACGTTCGAATTAAAGTAACACATTAATGCTGCCTTTTGACAAACAAGCAATAATTACAAAGAGTGTTGATGCATGTTTTGTTTAGAAATTACTCCATCAGCACCTGACAATTTGTAAGCTAATTTGCCAGGACTACAGTTAAAAAAAAAAGGAAAATGATCGTATCAAGCAGACTGGTGATCATAGGGGAAACAACACCATTTACACACTGCTTATTGTCATTAGATACACACTGTTGTTTCATAGCATTTTCTTTCGCTGTTATTATGCAGTTTATAAAACTGACATTTGCAGCTGTCCACTAAACACTTTTCATTTTTTTCTGTTTTGAACTGCCTCTGGTGTAGCCAAGCCACAACTCTAAACTGATGGATTTTCATTGACCATTTCATTCCCGACCATAAAAGCGATTCGTCTTGGACATCGATCAATGCAATTCGTCGTGCTCCGTCTTATCAACAAAACTTGTTCCCCCCCCCACTCCATCCGCCTTACCCATTTTTCCCCTCCCCTATCTGCTCTCTCCCACGGCCGTGGCTTAAAATAAAAAAAAAACGCATAAAGGACTTGGCGATGGAGATGCGCGAGAGCCAGGGAGGCCAGGACGAAGGGCCCTATGCGCACCTGACGCGTGCCGAGCTCGTGCAGCTGCTGACACGGCAGCAGGCGGAGCTGGTGGACCGAGAGCAGCGCATCCACGCCATGGAGGACTACATCGACAACCTGCTGGTGCGCGTCATTGAGGAAACCCCCGCCATCCTGCGGCAGCCCGAGCGCGGCGCGGGCCGCAAAGCCGGTCGGGTGTGGTGACCTCGCAGAAGTTCCCCTCTGACGCCACCCATCCCACACGTCACTCTTCTTTATTTGTCCACGTGAAAGAGACGTGTGACGTCGGTGGACTACGTTGGCAGTGGTGTTAGGAGCCCAGGCCTGTAAAACCTCACCACCATCACCATCAATGCTGTCTTTTAACAAACAAGCAATAATTGTGTTTATCCAGAGCAGAGAGCTATTGCCCCAAAACGCTAGCTTACTGCACTGTTATTCTGTTGTAAGCAGTGCTAATGATGATGGTGGCGAGTCTTTTTTTTGTTCAGCCTCTGCTTATAAATTCACAATTTCTCGGGCGAGCACAATCGAGGGCATGTTGAGCTCAACGGAGAAACTCCTCTTGGCATAATGCTCTCCCATTGCAATGTCGTAAAATTAGTAGTTCAAGAAGGAGCGTGGTTAAGTAGCAGGGGGGGGGGGGGGCGCCCCAAACCCATCCCTAATCCTCCTGCGAGCTGTGCAGGTGGTGCTGAGATGTACAGTGGAGACGGCGATAGGGTTGAGCCCTGCAGGTGCTGAGCGGCTGTCCCTTGAAAGCCACCAGCCTCCTGCCCCTCTCTTCCGCCACTCTTCAAACAGCTCCTGTTTCTCTCTCTCTCTCTTTCGTACCTTCCTTCCCTTTACCTCGGCTCCGTGCCTTGGAAACCCCCTCTCTCTGTGAGATAATCTTCTGTGTGCCTGCCCCTGTGGTGACCACACGGCCGCTCCCGACTCTCTAATCGGCTGTGGGAGGATGCAGCCGCGAAGTTCGCTGTGAAGCGTGCTGTGCGGAGCAGCGCGCCGCGTTGGCAATTATAAACGGTGCCTTCACAGCGCATGTCGCGAGACACTGGGTGGGGGGGGGGGGGGGTAGTTTTTAAAACGCTGGCGCGACCACTGACGATGGATGCTCACGGGGGAAATCGGTGCGCGGGTGTGCGGCATCCTTCCAAGATTCAAATACTGTATCCTGCTTCCTTGCAAATTTTGATTAAAACAATAATGGTGGGTTTAAATCTCACGAAGATTAACGTATAAAAACTGTCGTTCTTTCAGCATTTAGTCTTCACAAAATTTGGTGTATCTGATGAAATTGAGGTTTTTTTTTTCTATCCCAAAAATACACATTGTGTAACTGTCTTGTAATAATGATAATGACAAAGGGTGTCGGTGAACGTCTTCGTGCAGATGCAATTTATTTGTATCCTGGAATGTTATATACCAAAGGGCTTTCTTGATAATTATGCACTGTTAGTAGAACGTCCAATATGCTGTTTTCTGAGTTCACCGAATGCTGATGGTGATTAGTTTTTGTTAAACTACTGTTTTGAGCGCCGCCTTGGTTTTGTTGCGCTACGGATTAACTGTTGGCACCCCATGCAATTTGTAAAGCATATGCTGAGATTTCCTCCAGTGTGTCTGATTGCGGTTGCTCTCCCAGCAACGAGGATCACGTTGGAATGTTTTTGCCTCATTACTAAGTAAAGTGGCCTCCTACACAAAAGCCTTGAAGAATGAAGTGCAAGATTTGTCACACGAAAAATTATACACTGGCTCCACCTTACATTACTGCTATTTAAATGAATTCCATGAATAAAAAAAATAACAACATACTTCTGTTACACGTATACGGTATATTACAGTGTAGGCTGACGATATGTCTGTAATTGGTGGCGTGGTTGAGTGCAATTGTGCTGTTTTTGACATGTCTAAAAGACACTGGAGTGCTGGACTGGCATATGGGGCCAGTAGAAATCTCATAAAACACTAATAATAATGAGAAATAGTTTTGTGTGTTCACTTTGTCTCACTACCTTACCGTTTTGTACTTTCAGTGTTTGGTTTTTTCTCACACTTGTAAGAGCAAAATAAAGTTTGTTTGGCTGGTACAGACAAAACGGTATGCATCTACTGAGATTACATCTCCTCGACTTGCCGTCAGGTTCCTCATACAGCGTTGGCTTTTTTGGCAAAAGAGATCGTGTCCCAACCCACGTGGCGCGTGCATGTTCATGCTGCATGTCAGAGATGCTTTGTACGTGAGTCCGTGTTTGGTTACTTGAGGGATTTTTTTTTCGAAACTGTACAGGTTATTGGTTTGTATTTGTGGTTAAACCGGTGAAAATTATTATTGGTGGAAGCAGACTCGGTTCACTCTTCAGCAAAGTCATTTGAAGTACAAGCTGATTTTTTTGGCATGCAGACAGATGGAATTTTTTTATCGATTGCCATTTCAATGTTTCGTATGGATGACATTTCAAATAAAACTTTCCACGTGATAGACATGACTATAATGAGATTAATTACAAATCAAAGGAAGTGTGAGGCAAAATCAATCCTGACTTAATATTGTACAAACACTGGTTTTATTTCTTGCTTGTTCATTAAACCAAAAAATGTAATTCAATTTGAGTTCAACCAATGTAGTCCTTTGAGAGATTTCTATTGGCTCCCAATAATTTCCTTTGTTGGTTTCGAGCGTGGAGAACATTCCGTTGGTTTTTGAAGTAATTTCTGTATATTCTTATGTTCCTAAAATGTTTATAATTGTCGTTAGCACAAGTATCGTTTGCTTAGGAAATATATCCTTTCACAGAAATTATATAAATATTAAAAATTCGATGGACGTGTAGGCGTAGTTTCTGCAAGTGCACAATATTAACAATGTACAACTAGATTTAAAAGTGTATTGTAGCCTTCCCTCTAATTGATGACTCACGCCAAATGACCTGCAATAACATGAAACGATTAAATAATTACTTGTATATTGAGTGCCTTCATATCGGACGTATGGCGTTTGTAACACAACCTATGCATGGACAAATATCGATTGGATCTTAGTCACACAATATGGTGAAGGAGGTATGTTGGAAAGTGGTTTATTATTAATAAAGTATTTTATTCTGTAAAATGGCTATTATGGGTCCTCGATTGTTGCCGATTTGCACTGAGAGACAAATAGGAACATGTGGAGGTTATACATAGTGTTAATAAAGTTAGTGTGCTTTGACTCGTCACTAGATGGGAAGAGGGTCAAGAATAACGATAGGGAATTGCAGCCAAGGGAGGGAACTCTCCCGAGAGGATGTCCACTGATGAAATGGAACGATGAAATCGGTTCGCGTGCAAGTGCTAGGTAGATTGTTGTAACGCGGTATCACGAGGGGTGATTTTCCCACGACAAAAATCCAACAGCTGCGGTGCTGTAGTTTATGCCATTGATACCTGTAGCTGATTTGCCTGGAATACCCTCAATCTCATCCCTTCTCAAGAGCTAGAGAGCTGTGCCTGGATAATGCTTGGATGGGTGACCGAGCTTGTGAAACGCAGATGTAATATACTAATGCTATTTTTATTTTACCAGGTAAGGCCCATTGAGTTATATGGCTCTTTCAGAGCGACGTGGCCACAAATGATAGCTCAACGAAGTGGCTTATGTGGAAATTTGTAGCAGCCAAAGAAATACTGTAGTCTCCAAACGCATGTTTCTAAACATGGAGGGACAAACCGGAGGACCCGTAGTTAAATCGACGTGACCACGGGGAGAACATGAAAACTCAGAAATGTACAGACGTCAGGGTCGGGATCGAACCCACGATCTCCTCCATACCAGGCGAGGTAGTTACTACGAGGGGGGCCTCTTGTAGTAAGACACAACCACAGCACCGGGTCGGTCCGGGCTTCGTTCTTGGCTCTTGAAGCTCGTCACCTCCCCTCGTGCTCTCTCCTTTTACCCTTCTCGAGCTCCCTTTGTGACTGTGCAAAGTGACAATGCACAGTCAACACATAGTCACTTTAAGATGTTTTTCTTGTTCGTGTTTTTTTGTTTAGTTGAGGTTGCACCCGATTCAAGAGCCGAATGGCTCACAGGGCTATACCAAAATAAACTTAAACTGAAACATCTCCCCGCTTGGCCGCCCCAGGTTTGCTGCGAGGCTATGCTGTTGTCAGCACAGCGCAGCAATATCCAATGCCCTGTGGCTCTGTCTGTCTATGCTACCAATTTTCAGCAGTGCACAGTGACTATGGAGTGGCGATGTTCTGGTCATGAGACCCACGGGGACATGCGCGGCATGAGAAGGCGGGGTGTTGATAAAAGGGTTGCGTAGATGCATCCTATTAGAAATGTACGTTTCATACGTGACTTCTTCGTTCAACACTGGAGTTTTATTATTGTGTAGGCAACGGAACAAATATAATACTGTGAACAGTCAACGTGTCTCCATGTTCAACCAATAGGGAGGCACTCATTACCCTAAGCCCATGGTGTAAATTCCACATTTCCACGACATGTGCCCGTCCGATTGTGACAACAAAAAAGCACCGTGTTTGACTCCGTGTATTCATATTTACAGCCCTTCCTCAATACACCGATGGATGAAAGCCTCCCTACACCCATGTAGGTTGGGAGGGTTGTTCGGCCATACTTCACCACGCTGGTCAGTGCGTTTTGATAAGAGGGGAGAGGGGGTGGCTGGAACTGGTTCAGATATCACTCGCCAGTTGTGTTAGTCGTGACCGAGACCTCGGAACTCGGCTCACCAAAATTCATCGTGCAAGTGTGCTAACCACTGCACCCACCGCTCCATATATATGTATATTTAACTCGGTGACTTTTCTAATGTCATCCATCGCCTTCACTCCGCCAACAGCCGAAAGCAGAGCTGCTCGTGCGCATCAAACAACAGAACAATTGCGTCTGTACATATTTAAACATCTTATTAAGCCTCGGCGAAGTTCATTAAAACGCTAGATAGTGTTTCAGAGGCCGTTTAAATGTAATAGTATATGTGTTTGCACCGGAGGCGATGTTGTGGCGTCTTCCTCTGTCCTACTCACTCACCCTCATGCGTATCATATGTGCCCTGTATACATAACCTGTGCGTAAACGCGTGTCCCCTGTAATACACGGGGCCAGAGGACAGCGGATAGATACGCCATCCCATTAAGGCTCAAACTATACGAGGGGGGGGGGTGCTCCCTGCCATTGTCAATAATGGATAAATCTCAGCTCTGAATGGCTTCTGATGTCCCGCGTTAACCAATACCCCCCCCCCCCCCCACTCCTCCCTCTTATGTCGAGGTGTCAGCGCGTGTAGACGTCTATCTGGCTCGATTCTCACTTCAGCTCGGTTCGCTCTGACCAGGACGCGAGCACAACAGTGAGCTGAGCACGTGGCTGCGCTCACGATCACGCGCCAGCTGTCATGGTCGCGTCACGGCCACCACCACCACCCCCACCACCACCCCCGCTGCTGCGATGGAAATTTCTGCCGCTCTTATTAAAGGGAACCAGGTGTCTCTTCGTGTGTCCAAATACGGGGGGGGGGGGGGACGCATTCAGACCACCTGTCAGAGGCCCCTGGGGCTTTTAAACGGCACACGTGTGTACATATATATTTACATCATGCATAATAGATACAGTACTAAAAACGCGGGCTGTGTGTGTTTGTGTGCTCGCTGACAGCACTTGCCCCAGTCTTGTCGAAGGCTATACGGGGGATCTTTGTCTCTTTACGTATATATTCGCGGGGAGCTGTAGTGTAGCGGTTAGCGCGCTGCGTTACGAACCCGGCCACCCGAGTTCGATTCAGGCTCACGGCCAACACCAGTGACGATTATATGAACCGGTCCTCGGCATCCTTCCCTGGATCGACTTAGCCCCCAATTAGTACCTGGTGCGGTGTGTCAACATAGCCACAGGAGAGACAAAGGCGGTTGGGTGTGGTACTGGCCACCCACCCCCTCGTGTACCGTGCCGGCCTGCATAGGTGCTCGCTGACAGCAACTCTTTCCCCAAAGGTCTGTTAAGGTTATACGGGGGATCTTTGTATAGTGCAATTTGTTGTCCTTTCCCGCACCTCCGATTAGCACGGTTGGCTACGTACGGTGCGAAAGAAGTTCAAATATACATACATAGCTAACTCTGGTCTTAACAGACCGCTTCTCAAGCTTTCACGCTTTTTTTCTATTTCAAATACGTGAAATTATAACCGTGGTGTGGTTGACTCACAACCACGCTTAGCTCGTGGTTGCACCCGGTTGGTACAGGCTATGGGAGATGTTGCCTGGCTTGAGCTGCGAAGTGAACCAAAGCTGGCGGTGGTGAGATGTCGACTACCTCGCCTGGTATACAGGAAGGTCGTGGGTTCGATCCCCACCCTGACACCTGCTGTATATTTGGAGTTTTTTTCCCCGTGGTCGCGTGGATTGTTCTCCAGGTCCTCTCGTGTTCCCCTGCACATTTAGACTCAGCATGCGTTTAGAGTATCTGGCTGCTATAAGTGTCCACATGCGAAACCAATTCGTTGATCTATCGTTTGCCGGCCAGGTCGCTTCTGACAAAGAGCCAATAAAGCTCAGCGGGCCTTACCTGTTCAAGTAAAAAAAAATGTTTAGCTTAGTTTTGGCGATACTGCCTTGCATTGAATCCATCTGTGCGGATTTTTCGGATGTCGACCAGAGCTTGTCTGGAGTTGTCGACACGTGCTCGTGAGATGGCCATAAGATGCCAGTGCTGGGTGTGTCATCTCCTCGTACGTGTGTTTACGTGGGGGTTTTTGTTGCAGCAAATTTCAGTTTCCTCTCAGATCGAGCCATACACTCATTCGTGGAATTGGCCAAACAACCCAATCAATGGATTAAAAAAACATAATTACATGTTTTTTTATTGCATTGTCATTTGCCCATTCCGAAGTGAGTGTGTTTGAGTTGGGAAAACAATCACGGTGCGCGCGGCAAACCCACGCTTTTACAAGGGGGAGGTTCTCAGAAGTCCGTGCAGGTACAGGCCAACATCCTTTGTAGGACGTTGCCTTCTACAAGCCAATTGTGATTCTGCAGTGTGTGTTGTGTCTCACGCAGAGCGCTGTTACCACCCGCCTTCGGTCTTGGTGGGATTTCTCTAGGACCCCCCCACCTTCCCATCAACGTAGTATTCTCATTGTTGATAACGGTTCACTTTGGTGACCATGAATTTTCTCGTGAAAGCAACTTCAACAGCGCCTTTGTGACAGAAGAAGACGAGGAAGAGGAGGATGAAGAAGAAGAATGCACGTATAGTTGGGAATTATTTAAGGAAACAAGCCCCAGCTGATCTACACCGTGGAGATGGAGCAATGGATCTCAGTTTGTGTGCAGGCGCAAGGCAGATTGTTGCATCGCAAGGTGGTGACGGTTGGCAAGCCTTCATCCAGCAGTAGATTGATCAAATCTGATGATAAGAATGGGTAACATTTTTCATTAATGGCTGTTGTTGAGCACATATAAAAGCTATACTATATTGCAAATAAATCACAGTGCCATTTTGACTGGCTCTAAAATCCCCCCTGGAAGCTTACCCTGTGCATATAAGCGGCATTGTCATCATTGATATTGTTCATTAGAATTGGATTTCTTTTGTATTTTTTTTATTCAAACATTGGACGTTGTCAGAGCAGGTGAAACGAACCTAAAAAACACACCGTGTGGTTGCCAATGTTGGCCGACAGCTATGAATAAAGCCCCTCCTGAGTGGGAGTCTTGAGACTCAACGAGGCTAACCCTGTGTAAATAAATGGCATTATTGTTATTTGCATAGGAAGCCTTGGCGGTTGCTAATAAATGACAGCAGACACATGCCGGCAATAGGCAGGTGTTGGATTGCAATGTGGGTTATATGGCATAAACCGCACGCCTTCTATTGTACATTACTTACCATGTTAAAACGCGTTTAATTATTGATGGCGCATTCAACCCAAGAAAATTGTATTTGTCTATAACCGAGAAGCCGTGTATATATTTGCACGCTAATTCACATCATTAAAATACATTGCGATTATCTATTTTTTTTTCTTTTTTTTTTAAACTTTGCTTACAAAAAGGCATATTCATAATTCGCTCTCGCGCGAAGAAAGCTTTGAATTCTAAATGTTGTTT